TTTGTATTAATTTTAAGGCTGTGTTTGACGTAGTAACTGAAAAGCTAGCTAATAGCTGAAAAGCTAGTTGATAAAAAATAAGATTTGGTAAAACTAACTGAAAGATATAAAATTAAATAAAAGGACATTTAAAAAAAGATGTTTTGTATAATTAATTAATAGTTATATTTGGAAAAAATTTAAAAAGCTTCTGAAAAAGTAGTTTAAGGCTATGTTTGACATACTAGTTGAAAAACTAGCTGATAAAAAATCACGTTGTAGCTGGAAATTTAAAATGACATAAAAGGGCATTTAAAAAATATGTTTATGTAATTATTTACGGGATATATTTGAAATTCTTTTTAAAAAACTTCTAAAAAACTAATTTAAATAGTTTTTTAAAAAACTAGCTTATAAGTTACTTTTGACTTGCTAAACATGACAACTTAAAAAAGCTCGAAAAATAAGCTAGTTATGACGCGTCAGACACAACTAAAAAATATATAATAGATTGGAAATAAATTATTATTTATAATTTTTTATAAAAATTATATCAATATATGTAAGAAAACGACGTAATTAGTAATTAGTTAGAAATTGTATAAGGAAATTATCAAAAAAGTTCTCAATATTTACGGAAAAGTTTCATTTTAGTACCAAAATAAAAATTGAACATTAAAATCTATATTATTTGATTTTACATGCTAATATGTCATTTCCTGTTAAAAGAAAAAAATGATTTTTTTGTTAATTCGAGCTAAAATAAAATAATCGGGACTTTTATGTTTAAAATTTTTTTAGAATAAAATAAAACTTTTTCAAAATATTAAGATTTTTTTGATAATTTTCAAACTGTATATTACAATATGCATGGGTTACTAGATACCCCTTACCACTACTTGTGAGGGAATTTAAATGATATTTCTATAGTAATTTAAATGAAATTACCCGATAAAAGCGGCGCGTTGTTGGTGCTCATGTGACAATAATTTCATATTTGGCATGTTATAATTGAGATTTTTATTCTTTCATATTTGGCATCATGTGACAATAATTTCAAGATTAGATGTATTATTTGTTGATCTGCATCACATCAGATCACCGCATGTTCACTCAATCTAACTTTTTCTTATTTGTTTTATAAATTTAAGACGATTACATTTCGTATCAATATATTCTCTTCGACTAAGTTAACATCATCATTATAATTTCAATATATCATGGCATATATATAAGTATATATAACATAGGCTAAGATTATTTTTTAGGTTAAATTGCAAAAGACGAGGCCAATTGTTGTTGATGTATTTCGTGGGTAATGGCGGTCCACAGCCACTAGTGATATTATTTGCTGTGGTTCATAGTAACAGACGGTAATAATGACATTGAATGACCAAGATAATGGTCCATAGTGGTAACATTGGACCATTAAAAATAATTTCTTACGTTATGTTATAAATAAAATCATTGTATTTACTATATATCTAATAATAAATAAGCTATCAATGTATTTTTAATATTATAGTTTTTTATCACCTTTTCTTTGTTTTGTGAGCATGCGAAGTTGATTTGGAGATGGCTTGGTTCGTGGTGTGGAACTATGGTGCCGATTCCGTGCAACCTAGATGATCTTCGTGTGGTGCTGCAATCCCTGAGAAAAAACAGAAGGTTGACTCTCTTGATATTAGCTTTGGTTTATTCGTCTCTTAAGCAAATCTGGAATGCGAGGAATGAGTTGTTTAAAAATGTGAGAATTGCACCTATGAAGACAACGGATAACATTCAAGCTTGTACTTTCAACTGGGTTAAACATAGACCAAATCTGGTTTCGTTAGATTGGTCGAATTGGATTAGCTCTTTCTTATTTAATTGTATTTAAAACTATTGTTTCTAGCATCTTGCTAGTTTTCTTTTCTTAATATATCTGTTGTTCTAAAAAAAACATAGCAGTCAACAACTTTATAATTTAATACATCGAGGTTTATCTATAAAATGAGTTGTGGTATCGAATTTTGGTCAGTTTGGGTGGGTCTCGGAACAGTTTGGTATTTTTTTCAGTCCGGTCTCATTATTTACGGTTTGGTCTCGGTATTCTTTTTGGTATCAGTCCGAGACCGGTCTATTTGTTCATATCTAATACCACAATCATAGCTAGAAGTGTCTAGTTTGCTATGTAAAACAATATGACACCAAACATCTTAATTAACAAGTCGAGCATTGATTCGTATTATATCTATTTTGATCCATTTATCTAATTGACAGATAAATAAATTGGTTAATTGATCTAATTGACAATCTATGATAAAGTTGCCTTCAATAGGCAAATGGGTTTACTGAAAATTACCAAAAGAGAAGAAAAGAAGACATAGAGGAAGGAGAGTGAAATTTCTGAAATTGACTGCCTTTTACCCTAGCCAAACCTTTAATTAGTTTTTTTTTTTAGAACATGAGATGAACTTTATACAACTAGAAAAGACGCGGTGGGAAACTAGACATGTACAAAATACAAGAAAAAAGAGAAAAAAAACACCGCTCATACCAGTTTAGGGATTGCAAATTGGATCTCTGCTTGATCCAAGAAAAGAGTTGTAACCGAATGTCATATGTTGTCTTTACTGGAAAGAAATTTCCTCTTTTAAAAACAATTAAATTATGTATTTTCCAAACAAAATAGAATAATAGTGTATACCAAGGCATGTAGGACCTTTCTTCTATGTTTGGATTTCAAGCCACTTTCAATAAGAAAAAAATGTTGAAAGGATAGGAGAACAATGTGACCAAAGTCACACCAGGTGTAACACCTTGAAATTTTAATTTTACAATGCTAGGCTTAACACCTTGAAATTTTAATTTTACAATGCTAGGCTTACAGGAGTGAGGTTGTGATGGTGGAGTTATGGGGCATTATAGATGTGAACACCACCCCTAGGTAAGTAGGTGGAGTAAAGGGAAGTGATTGTGGTTGGTTGTGGTGAGAACCACGCTTCACCACTCTCTTCTTTGTCCATCTCTCTCATATTCTTCCCTTTCTTTCTCTTAAATGTACAAGATATTAAGCAAAAAATACAAATATAATAAATGTGATGTGGAGTGGTGATCTTCCTAGGTGTGTGATGGGGAAGTGATAATGGCTGGCAATTAGACCATCTGATATACCGAGGACGAGCAAGCTCGTGGTCTACATGGCTACGGAAGTCCATCGTGCCCACCATCCCGGCCTTTCGTGGTTGGTCGTGGTCGTGCTCAATCGTGGTGCAGACGATGAACGTAAACTGTCGATTGGCTTCCTTCTTCATTTTCTTACCGTTCAACGGTCAAAACTTTTTTTTTTTTAAATATAAAACATTACCTATAGATAAACACAACAATTTAACAACTTATACACTCAAACCATTCTCTATACTCTCTATCTATAAAAACAAATATACATGGAATTCTTTAAGAATTTCGATTCGGATGATGATGGAGAATTCATCTCGACGTTCTTGAACGTTGTACAACACATTCACGATGAAGAAAGTTCGAATGTTTTGCCTTCAAGAGCGGTTGTCAATCGAGATCTCCAAACCGCACACGAGTCATTGGTACGTGATTACTTTGCCGATAATTGTCTTTACAATGAAGATGCTTTCGAACGTCGTTTCTGTGTTAATAAAGCTATATTTTTATGTATTAGTAATGCTTTAGAGGCTTGTTATGATTTTTTTAAACAAAAACTCGATGCTAGAGGATGAATGAGTTTTAGTAGTATACAAAAATGTACGACTGCGCTTAGATATTTGGGATACATTATAGCCTTGGATGCATCTGACGAGTACTCAAGCAAACATGGCATGTATGCAAATACGATACATGACTTTGGGATAAAGATATAATTAAACGAATGGTCCAAGCATGTTTTATAATGCATAATATGATCATTGAAGATCAAGGTCGAACGATTTGCACGTATGACCTGGACGACATAGTCATTCCGATTGAAGAGTTTACACCCGCAACGACTGAATTTTTAACACGAGTTGTTGAAATTCATAACAGTGAAACATGTTTCAATCTTCAAGAGACATCACATATAATTTGTACCAACTCAACATGAACAAAAATTAATTTTGTTTTTTTTATGTTTGTTTTTTATTCTAATTTTTTATGTAATGTAGGTTTTTAAATGAATGTAATGTTTCTTTATTGAATGAAAAACTAATTATAAAAAATTCTATGTTTTCTTTTGTATTTAAAAATTTTGTATTTTTATTGTATTTTTGAATTAAAAAAAATGATGTGGAGTGAAGTTGTAGTGGTGGGTATCCCATAGGTTTAGTGGTGATGATGTAACACCATCACTATAATGGTTAGTGGTAGGTATAACTAAGGTTCTAAAAAGCTCGTCATGGCGCGCCATGACTTCAAGGCTTGTACATGCCGCCAAACTTTACCAAAATGTCGTCTTAACTCATATATGTGTATAAAAATGAATAATAGTTGAAAATACATATAAAAATATAAATTATATACAAAATTGTCACCTTAAATCACGCCTTACAAACGACGTGGCTCGCTTGGAAAAGTTTGTGGCTTGACATTGCCGTCAAGTCACGCCTTACGTTATTTAGAACCTTGGGTATAACAGATGATCTTAGGTAGCAACACTTTTGGAGTGGTCAAGTGGTGACCACTCATTGCCTTAAGATAATAAATGGAAGGGATAATGACATTGTAGCACAATGAAGTTTTGAGTTCGGTCCGATTTGACTATTGATGTTTTTTTTTGCACAATAGGTCATCTAATTTTTACTGTACATGTTAATTAAGTCATTATCGTTAGTTTTTAACCATTCCCCCGTTAACCAGTTGTTCTAAATTACACGAATGGCCTCTATGATTAAAAATTTATTCGTAGTTGGTCCCAAAAGTAGTAAAATTCATCATTTTTTTTAAATCTCACATCTACGGTAAATGAAAAAATTCCCCTTCTTCTCAATACAGGTTTTATGAGACGATGATAAACGATGTCAATACAACAAGGGCTTGAGGCTGTACTCAAAGGTATCAACGACATGTGTAACAAAGTAAGTTCAATCCACCAAAAAATCATTAAAATCAACAAACGTTTCACATCACAGTCGTTCGCTCTAAAAATTTCCCAAATTAATCAAATCCAACCAAGATTTCAGTAACCCATTTGATATCTTTGAATCACTTTTCGACTTTGGGCGGCTAAATGGGCGATCGGAGCTCCCGCAACATGGGCAAGGAAGGTGAAGATCAAGGCTACAACCTCATTCTAAACTTCAAAGAAACTGTATTTGGAATCGAAAAAGTAATCGAAATATAAAAACTCGACACCTATCAAACTTGCAAAGGATCCGACGCCAAACCCGGAACCACCGCTTCTCGTGCTCCCTATGCGGCAATCAAGGCCAAGTGATATCCTCTGCCAGAACTCCCATCGGCATCTTCCAACAAGTCACCACCTGCTCTTCCTGTAAAGGAACCAGAGAAATCTCAACTCCCTGCACCACATGCTTCGGCGACAGGCGAGTCCGAAAGTGAAAACGAATCAGCCTTAAAGTCCCTTTTGGTGTCGATTCCGGTAACCGGTTGAGAGTTGGTTCAAAAGGTAATGCCAGAAGAAGAGGCGTACCTGACAAATGTAACTTGTTTTTGATACTCGATGTCCTTCCAGATCCGGTGTTGAAACATGACGATACAAAAATTTTGTACACTTGGTCCCAGAGTGACACGAACATTTTGTACACGATGACAATGTTACAGTTTGGTCCCCTGAGTTTCAAAAATGATGAATTTTACTACTTATGAGACCAACTACGAATAAAGTTTTAACCATAGGGACCATTCGTGTAATTTAGTACAACTAATTAACGGAGGAATGGTTAAAAACAAACGATAATGGCTTAATTGACATGTACAGTAAAATTTGTAAAAATTAGATGACTTATTGCGTAAAAAAAATAACATAAATGGTCAAATTAGACCAAACTCAAAACTTCATTGTACTACATTATCCCTAAATGGAAAGAACAAGTTATAAGCAAGTGATCGCAAGACTCTTGAAACTTGGAAATGGGAATAAGCTTATACTATGTACTGAAATGGGACAAGATGTGGAAAATAGCATAAATTGGAAATTCCATCTATTTATGTTGTAAATAAGATTAGTATGTGTTGAAAATGGAATATATCAACAAGGAATATGACGTGGTCTCTTAGTTTGATTTTTTCCATCGTTAACCCTAATATTCTTGAACTTGTTCGATTTTCATGTATTTTCTTAGTTCTTGTGAGTTGCTTTAGTTCAATTTTCGATTAGTAAGATAAATCCTTCGCTAGTTGCTTCAGTTCGATTTTTGTACAAGTTCTTAAAATTTATAAAATTAGAAGAGTGATTTAAAATTAATGATAGGAACAATGGTTGGATAACTTCTTAAATCATTGTAATTTTATAGAGATTTTCAATTAAAATGATAAATCCCTCTGCAAGCAATAATGGTTACTTAGACAATGAAGAAGACAGCAAAATACAAACATCCTATTGTTTCACAAAGTGATTTAAGTCATATTGGAAGACATGAAAAGGTTAAAGATATTCTAGGTTTTGAAAAGGTTTCATTTTGTTTTATAATTTCACCTTATTCTTTGCTTTAAACATTTTATTTGCATTTTTCTGACACTAGACATTCATTTCAAACAACTAAGCAAGTAGATTAATTACTATGAAAAATCATTTACACTTATGATGAAAGAAAGGATAATTACAAAAATAACCCAAGCTCATTACAACTATTTACAATGTTGATCAAAGAACAGCATATACACAACATTCAGCTCATTACTACAAGAGTTCTTTCTCACATTCAACCTCCATATTTTGAACAATCATGAAAAGACTATTCTAAACAACTTATAATGCAACATTAAGAGCAAATAAAAATGGATATATTCATAACTCATAAGGCAAACTATGCAAGTAGAAAAATAAGTCCAAGTAGAAAAGAGAACCAAGTTATCATAAATCGAAATGACTGAAGAAGATCAACAAAAAGATTTCTAAATATAAAGAGTAGTAGTTATATCATATATGCCAATTTGTGTATACAAAGATTTTATTTACTAACCAATGAGGAATGCTCAACAATTAGCTTCAGACGTTTGGCCAATACATCAAACTCTGCAATATGTTGATCCCTCCATCGCTTCTCAAAGCTAATCTCTTTCTCAAGATTTGAATCTCTTTGAAGATCAATCATCGTTTTAATCTCCTTCAACGACTGATCAAGAACATCAGCAAGAGTTTTGTTTGCAAAATGCATAACATCATCACCACCACTCTTTACCCTGACTTCTTTTCGCGCCATTTCAGCATTACGCTCCAATTCTACATTCACATCATTAAGCTTAACATCGCCATTGAAACCACCAGCAGTAGCAGCACCAGCAGCAAGGTTGTTAAATTTGTTACGGTTGCTACGATTGTTCGTTTCCTTAATCACAGACGGCAAAGCTAATACAGCCATAGAAGACGAAGGTAGCGTCGGCGAGAAACTAACCTTAACCCCAACCAAATTCGGCTTACAGTTGTGATTATTAACCGGGTTAGAATCCGAATTGGAAACGCCAGATGGTAAAAACGGATGATCCGGCTCCCAAAGTTGCTTCGAAAGATCATACAAAGCACGATCCTGCGGCGAAAGCAGCGCCTTGTCGAGCCCTTTCGACAGCCGCGAGGAAATCACCCTGAACTTCTTCCGGAGACGACGGAGCTTCTCAGACAGCTGCGATTTCGTGTACGGCTGCGACATTCCATGGGAGAATCGAGAGTAGAATATTCCGAGATCTCGAGGGAACGACAAGCCTTGGGAAGAACAATCGAGGAGTCCCTGGAGGAAACGGATCTCGTCTGGCTCCGTCCAAATCCGATGAAATTTGAAAGGAGGTTGCCTGGCGATGGCGTCATGATCGGGATCGGGATCGGGATCGGCGTCGTCGTCGTCGGATTCGAGTTTGGGCGTTGAGAGGATAAGAGTTGATGTGGGGGTTTTGCGCTTAATTGGAAGCTTACTACCAGAAGAAGGGATTGATGAAATGGGGTTGGGTTGTTGTATAACCATAGGAGGGTTTGATGGTGGGGTGAAGTCCATGGTTCTCACCTTGTTTGTGTGTTGTTTGTTTGAATCATCGATTTTGAGTGTGGGTGAGGGTGAGGTCGTGAGGGGGGTGGTTTGACCAAGATTTGGTCAAATTTGAAGTGTTAGCTGTTAAGGTAGGGTTGGGACTTTGGGATGTAGTTTAACCTCCTGATCCTATAAATGTGATAATATTGTGAATTCCACCATAAAATTTGGAGTTAATTTTGAGGAAATGATTTCTTAAATAACTAAATTAGATGTTACTAAGATTAATTTTAAATCTTTATCTAAGTAACAGTTTTCATAAACTAATTTTTATTGAGAAGACTATTTATACTAAACTAAAGCAAACAGAATGAGAAAATGACTCTACTAGATAAAGACTTCTAAGACTTACCGGATAAGTAAACTAACAAGAAAAAAAAATAGACTTAAATTAGGAAACAAATATATATCCCTATCTCAGTACTCCCTCTTAAGTTGGATTGTGAAGGTCACAGATACCCAACTTGCTACATAAAAATCAAAACCGGTCCGCTCCCAAAACTTTTAGTGAAAATGTTTGTCGGTAAAAAGTCTGGCCGAATTGGACATGGTTTTATCTCTCTACTAGCAACCCGCTCTCTCACGAAGTAATAATCCATTTCAACATGTTTTGTGCGCTCATGATAAACATGATTAGCTACAATATGACGAGAAACTTCATTATCACACATTAATATGATTAGCCATCTTAACCAAAGAACTTCACATACCGTGTCAACCATTGACCTGTATTCGGCTTCAGCGGCTTCAGCTGAAGATCTAGCAACCACACTTTGTTTTTTTGTCCGCCAGTATATTGGAGAACCACCCAAACTAATGAAATAACCAGTGAAAGACTTTTTGTTGATGGACAACTCAACCAGCTAACATTACAATAAGCCACTAGATCAAGGCCTCTAGAAGCAGGTAAAAATAAACCTTGTCCATGAGTGGTTTTTAAATATTGAAGCACCCGAATTGCTGCATCCCAATGTGTTTTTCGTGATTTTTTCAGAAACTAGCTCAACTGGTTTACGAAGTATGCAATATCTGGACGTGAGACGGTAAGATAAACTTATATTCCTACAAGACGACGATATTTAGGAGTATCTACTTAAGGACTGTTGTCTTCTTTTTTGAGAACAAGTTTTGCTCCATAGGAAAAGAACAGGGACGACTTCCTTGAATTCCACAATCTTCTAAAATATCGAGAGTATACTTGCATTGACTGATTACAATGCCATTTGGTGATCATGCTACTTTAATACCCAAGAAGTATTTTAGTGGTCCTAAATCCTTGATGTTGAACTGTGTTTGTAAATATGCCTTCACTTCTTCAAGTTTATCATTATTGTTTTCCATGAGAAGAATATCATCGACATATATAAGGGCTATAATGTGTGTAAATTCATTTTTGAAAACGAACATGGAGTGATCTGCCTTTGACTGTCTAAAACCGTTGTTCACTAGAGACTTGGTATACTTTTGATACCAATTTCGGAATGCTTGTCGTAAACCGTATATGGATTTTTGTAGCTTGCATACACGATCTTCATATGTTTTAACAAATCCTTGTAGAACCTTCATGTAGACTTCTTTATCAAGATCACCCTGCAAAAAAACATTGTTAACGTCCATTTGATGGATGGTCCATTGCCTTTTAGAAGCAACAACCAAAGCACATTGAACCGTTACTAATTTTGTAACAGGTGCAAAAGTCTCATGGAAATCAATTCCTTCAATTTGTATGTATCCCTTTGCGACTAAACGAGCTTTATATCTCTCAACTTGTCCATCAGGCTTGTATTTTATCTTATAGACCCATTTTGAGTCGATAACTTTCTTTCTTGGTAGAAGGGAAGTAAGTACCCAAGTTCCGTTCTCTTCAAGAGCACACATTTCTTTGCTCATTGTGTCACGCCAATTTGGATCAACCGCGGCTTGCAAGAAATTATTTGGTTTGTCATGTGCCGTAATAGCCGCAAGAAATGCTCGATGAGCTTTCTGAGAATCTGTTATAAGAAACGAATTGGGAAATTGGATGTGCCATTGACTTATCTGATGTTGATATAGCATTTGTATGTTCAAGTGAAGGTGGTAAGTCGATAACAAATTCATCTAGGTGTTTCGACTTGGTCTTTGTTCTTGTGTTTCGCCAATTTTGCTTTGACTTTGATTGAAGCTGTATGATAACAAACCTGCCTCTTCACTGTTTGAATTTAGACGTGTGTTGTCATTATGTGGGAACTCATGTTCTGGATCCAACCCATTGTTTCCTTTAAAATGGCAAACAAACTATAACAGGTTTTAATTACAAATGTATTTACAATATTGTTATGTCTTTAATTTTGAGTTGAGTTTAAAAAGTGCTTAACAAGACCTTAAAATAATGTTGAATTGTTAATTATGATATGTCATGATTACCATTACTAATACTTAGCAATGGCCTATATAACCAAAACGTATATCGGTATATGCACTTATGTGGTGGCTCACCTTTGTTAGGTTTTTTCAAAAGGATGATAATATGATCCGAGTTTCGTGGGCTTTGGCCCATATACATGTTTAAGCCCGTTTTCTTATTGTATATAGATCTCGTTGTATCTTCTAAATATTAATGTTTCTAAATTGATAAAAAAGAAATCGTTTGCAGATTTAACAGGATTATCCCAAACGTGTGAACCCTGTTAATCATTATGTTCTTTGCATCTTTAATAACGTGTTTGTTGCGAAAGCCCTAACAAACATGCACTTACAAAAAGATTATTTTATCAAGTTCATATACCAAACTTTTGATGTTCCAAATTTTAATTCTCAAAAGCTTTGGATGGAAAAGAGAGACGTTAGAGAAAAACAAGGGCTTGACATGTAACTTCAGAACATAAAAGGGGCGCAATATGAATTTGAGTTGACTTCGGAGCAAATCGTTGTTCTGCCTGACGTGAACTTCAAACAAATTGCAATCAAACTTCTGCTGATGAAGACGCTCTTACGCCGAATCATCATTCCCTACACCAAATCCTCTTCTTCAATCAATACTAACCTTCCTCGCTTTCAAAATTGCATTAATACGGCGGCAGAATCACCACACACGGCGGCGGCGCAGGAAGAGGAAGAGAAGACAGCTGAAACAATCACCTGCGTCTGCAAATCCTTTTCAAATAACCTCAACTGGGAAACCCTTAATCGGAAGCTTAAGTTCGTCGATGTCAGAAACTCAGCTATCATCAACAAAGTACTGATTCAACTCCAAGAACCACCAAATGCTAAAAAAGCTCTATCTTTCTTCCACTGGTCATCCCATTTCGGCAACATCACACACCAAACACAAACGTACGCTCTTGTAATACACATTTTGGTTAATGCGAAGCTAATCAAAGATGCCAGCGCGTTAATTGAATCAGTTCTTATCCGATCTGTTACAGGTAATTTGAAAGATCCTGACTGTAAAGGATCTTCTTCTGTCCTCTCGTTTATTCATTCGTTGATGAGTAGTTATGAGGTCACTAGTTCAACTCCATTTGTGTTTGATTTAACGATACAAATTTGTTCAAAGTTGAGGATGATTGATGAGGCTATAGATGTATGTTTTTGTTTGGGAGAACATGGATTTAGATTGAGTGTTATCAGTTACAATACCTTATTGCACGTAATTCAGAAATCAGATAAGACTAAGTTGGTTTGGAGAGTTTATGAGCAGATGATCAAACATAGAACATACCCAAATGAAAAAACTACTGGGATCATGATTAACGCATTGTGTAAACAAGGAAAGCTGCAAACTTTTGTTGATATGATAGATAGGATTGATGGAAAGAGATGCTTGCCTAGAGTGATCGTTAACACTTGTTTGGTTTTCACGATGATAGAGGAGGGAAAAATCGAAGATGGGTTAGTTTTGTTAAAGAGGATGTTGATAAAGAACATGATTACGGATACCATTTCATATTCTTTGATCGTATATGCCAAGATAAAGTTAGGACAATTAGAGTCTGCACGGGAGGTGTTCGATGAAATGCTCAAGAGAGGTTTCAAGGCCAATTCCTTTGTGCATACATCGTTTATAGGAGACTATTGTAAGGCTGGAAAGGTTGAAATTGGAGATGAATTGTTTAAAGAAATGGAACATATCGGTTTGAAGCCATACAATGACACATATACTCATATGATTGTTGGTTTTTCAAAAGTCGGAAGATTTGAAGAAAGCTTGAATCTTTGTCAAAAAATGGTGCATAATGGATTCATTCCAAGTTGTTTAACGTTCAGTGAAGTGGTTAAAATGGTAAATGGACGTGAGAGTGTTTGTAAAGTAGATGAAATGTTGACTCTTTTGTTGGATAAAGGGTTCTTGCCAGATGTAAATACATATACCTATCTTGTTGCAGGTTATGGACGTGATGGAGATGTTGAGGGAGTTTTAAAGGTTTATTATGAAATGGAATACAGGAAACTGTCTCCTGGGGTTTTGGTGTTTACTTGGTTGGTTGTTAGTCTTTGTGAATGTGGAAGATTGGAGGAATCAGAGAGATATTTTAGAACAATGAAAGCTCGATCTTTAGTCCCCATAGATTACACATATGATAAGTTGATTTCCAATCTTGAAATAGAAAAGGATATAAATTAGATCATGGTGGCTTGAATCTTTGTGAATCATAAAACCAAAAAGATGACAAGTATTTAAATCCATATATTAAACACCATGTCATAAAACACGTGGTAGCCATCTATTTGACATGGAAATTATGTGTAATATGTTACTTGTCTTGATTAATTGTTGTAAGAAATAACACTTATACTACATATAATGCAAATGAATGCTACAATTTAACAAAATTACAAATGCAAGTAACATAGTTAATTTAAGACTTTAACCCATGACTTTTGGCCTCCATCCCTCAATTACATCTTCTGTGAGTGGCATAGTTTTTGTGAATGACTCCAATGAGAACACAGTCTGTATGCATACAACAACATTCAATTTCATCAATTAACTATAAAGTTGATAAATTTATGCAAATATTAACAAGAATTGGTGTAGAAAGTAAAGTAGAGTACCTTCATATAGGTTTTGAGATGAGGAAGTGAATCTGGAATTGACCACTTCTTATAATGACCTAAAACAATCTCCAAATGGTATAATTTTGGTCCAAGTGACAAGTCAGCACCAGATATATCCTTCCCATTAATAAATGGGCCCTATTCAAGAAAGTCAAATTCAAGTCAACTAACAAATAATAGTGTCTCTATTCAATATAAGATACTAGAGAAACTCACATTTTCTTTTATGTAATCATTGAAAGCAGATAACTCATTAAGTAAAGCTTCTTCTTTTCCATCATTAGGGTCTTTGCTTTTCAAGAATCCAATATATGTTGAAAAAATCTTTGATCCACTGCACATATCAATCACCAATCAGAAATGAGCAATGAAAGTCAAGAATTGAACAAAAGGGGGATAAAGAGCATAAACATACATGGAAGCTTTCTCAGGTGGAGTCAACAATGGTGGTTCAGGGAACTTCTCCTCTACTGTCTGTGTAATAACATCTGAATCCGCTATCCATTTGTCATCAAGCTTCACGATAGGAACTTTACCTTCTGGGCTAATACTTAGAAACCTACAGAAAACTCAGAGTGTCAAGACTACAGAAACTAAAGTATCAGAAAGGGAATACTGTAGCGTATGATTACCATTCTGGTTTGTTAGCAAGATCAATTAATTTGAGATTGTAAGGAAGATGCTTCTCCTCCAAAGTCAACAAAACTCTCTGAGTAAAAGGACCTGAAAAACAAGGAGAAATCGCTCACAATAACTACACATCCAAATTTTATATCACTCGTGAAATGTCGCATTAATTCATCAAATTCCACTCTTACAATCAAATACAGTAAGTAAGTATTACATCTCATGTCAATCAAATAAAAGCAATTGATGAATTGAGCACGTTATTCTACAAACCGGAGAAGAAGAAGGAATAGGAACTTACAGTCGCCGAGCCTATTGGGGACAGTGATAGACGATTTGGCGCAGACCTCGAGAGGGTTGGAAGACATGGCGATGGGGGTTAGGTTTCTTCTGAACCCAGAACGCTTGAAATTGCGAGAATTGGTGGTGAAGAGGTTGAGGTTATTTGGGTTGCAGGTAAGGTGTTTGATAGATGTCGTCAACGCCGTAGTAGGCGGATGGATTCGAATAGCAGACATTTTTGGCCGAAGGAAAGGAATTGGTTAATAACGTGAAGCCTGACGGAGTATTATTTTAGAGTGACTGATGTCGCAAGCGATGAGGTTTGTGTTGACGTGTGCAATTTCTTTGCCAAGTGAGAATGAGGATGAAACAAATTAATAGTATTTCTTAGAAAGTTTCTTTTAATATACTACTATTTACCAGGTTTGTTAAAAAATTATATATATATATATATATATATTTAAGGAATAAATTTTACAGATTTTTAAAATGATATTTTTCAAAAGGATTTAATTGGTTTACAACTTTACATGCCTAGTGTAAGGTCCGAATTGGTATTTCGACTCTATAGTTGTTTTATTCAATTTATTAAACACCTACTATGGTCATGTTTGGTAAATCGCAAATATGACACAATGATCAAGAACATAACTTTTATGAAGAAATCACTTTTTTAGTATCTTAACTTTTATGAAGAAATCACTTTTTTAGTATCAAAATATTACGACAAATTTAATTTATAGTATATCACATCTAAAATCATTAAAATGTAAAGATACCTAGGAGATGACAGTAGGAATACGATTTCCTTCTTTTTGACTGGTTTTTCTTTAAATCATGATCGGTCTGCAAGAAAAAAAAAAAGAATAATCACTTGAAAGGGTAACATACTTAAGGAAATGTTCATATTTGGTCACTGAATTATTTTTCGTGCTTTATTTAACCTTGAACTTATTGAAACTTGTACATTAGACCACTATGACCGGTAATAGTCGGTTTTTCCGGTTTCCGGCCAAACCTAAGTATTCCGGCCAAGTATGATTTTCCGGCATCTTCTCCGGCGACATTTCCGACGTTCCTTACCTTCAGCACACTTTAAATGTGGGTTTTATTGAAGGAATCAGACAAAAAAAATTCAGAAAATGAACTCATAAAGCACACCTAACTGTGTGTTCTTGGTGTTTATGTGTGAAAATTCGAATCTTTGAAGAGGAAGATAAAATTGTTTGCAATTTTGTTCCTGAAATCGAAGTTGGTGAAGATGAAGATGAACACAAGAAAACCCTAGGGTTACTGGAGTTCGATTTCCTCCAGATTTCGAGTTCAAAATGGGTTTTGAAATCGTTTAGGTTATATTGATGTTTGAGTCGGGGTTTGTGAAAGTATTTCCAGATTCGAGTTAGGGTTTGTGAAACACTGTCAAACTCTGTTCCTTCGATATCCATCTTCACCACCACAAAATCTTTCTCTGTAATATTGTTCTTCACCTATTCATGAAATCAAACCCTTGAATCTTATTCAAATCCCATAAGAAACTAATTGAGTTTGTGCGAATTAAGACCGACACATCCCTCTTCCTTTATCTTCGTTTTTGGTGTTTGGTTGGCGTTTGATCTCAAAGAACAATGTCTCGTTTCATAGCCAAGTTGTGTAAGGGTTATCTTTTTCTTGGGTTTGTATTCTTGATGGAATCATTTGTCTGATTCAATTTCGAAAATCTTGAAGGGTTGGTTCTTTTTTTTGGGTAAAAATTCTTGAATCATTTGTCTGATTCAACTTGGAAAACCAACTTCCATGCTTGATCCATAGTTTCTAGCTCCGATGTCGATGTAGATGTATCGTGCTTTGAAGCTAATGTCCACCATTGATAGAAGATATTTGGTGTTCTTGAGGTTTCTTTTCAAAGAAATCCATGGCTTCAATGGTTCTTCAAGTATCTGGTAAACAATGGCAAATATAGAGTTCTTGGTTACACGAACTCAAGAACTCGTTTATGTTTTCGATTTTATGGTGCTGAAACTAGATTTCCTAAGAAGATGCCAAAATGTTTCCATGTTAGAAACCCAATAACTCAAAAAACGCGAATTCAAATATGATGTGGCCGGAGAAGATGATTGGAGATGTCGTCGGAGGTAAGGAATGCCGGAAATATCACCGGAGATGGAACTCAAATCCCTCAAAACAGGTTTTACCTGCTAATGCGGGTAATAATGGTAAGATTTAAACAAAAATACAAGTTTAAGGGTTGACAGTACACCAAAAAAAGTTAAGTGACTAAATATATACAAAGTATATAGTTGGTTACCCTTTGAAGTCATTATCCCAAAAAGAAAAAAAAGAGAATGTGAATCCGTTTTTAGCCTCCAATTACAATGAAGTTATTAGGTTGCATTCATGTTCTATTTTAGTAGTGCCACAAATTAATTATTTAACTCATTGTATTTTCATGTGGATCCGTTTTTACTTAAAAAGAATGGTGGATGCCAATCACGATTAACTGTCTCACTTGGCGTTTAGCTCAAAATTGAACTTCTCTTGCACCAAATTTACAAAAGAGGGAAGATGATTTGGATTTGGGCTATCGATTGGAGTGGGCTTGGATACGAGCCTAAGGGAACATTCTTGAGTGGGCAAAGTTTTTAAATGGGCTGCAATGTTCCTCCTCAAGGCTCAAGTTTCTGTTAGCTTTGAAAAATGTTGTTCTTTTGTATGTGTGGAAGGATAGAAATGCAAAGCTTTTCAAGAATCGAAAATATCTCGATAAAAACGGCGGATGAAATACAAATAAACCTTTTTAATTAGGTTAAATGTAGAGCCAAAAGGTTGATCTTAATTGGCATTATTGGTGTTGTAACCCTTTTATTTCATGTTCATTGTAACTCATTCTTGTTCTTGTGTTTTGCTAGTTTCTAGCTAGCTTGTTTTTAATTTTATGTCTGCTGTCCGTTCAAAAAAAAAAAAAAAAGAGAGGAATCAATTCATATAGTCCACAGTGAAAGGGGCTTCTAATTCGGTTATTTTTTTATTTTTATTTTTATTTTTTTTTAATTACCTATATAGCATGTGAAAGATAAATTTTAACTCCTATCCATAAATGGACCAAAATAGCTACTTTTATTTAAAAATCACAGTTATACATATTTATCAATCCTCTTTTTATATATTAAATAAAGAAGAAAATTTTATATAGACATAATGGGTAAACGAGCAACAAACTGTGCTTCAACCCCTTTTTGGATGGCAAAACAAATTCTTTTGAAAACATCTATTGATCTTGGAGTTATAACATTACTATGCATGACACGTTGGACTCTATTGAATAGCTCCACAACTTCTGGCGCAAGGAAACCGAAAGTATCAAATGCAAAGGGTATAAACGTGTGTTGATTTTCCGTGCACGCTTTCTCATGTTTTTCCACTTTGTTTGATGCAACTTTTAAAGCAGCTTGCCCCACAGTGAAAACCACACTTTCCAAGTCCACAAGAGGGGAAACCCCTGTTAGATCCATACATGCATCTTTTCCTCCAGCCCATCCAAATACTAAAACATCAGCTGGTCTAAGTGTTGATCTTCCTTCCAATGGGTCAGTCATAAAATTCACAGGTGCCTCTTTCTTGGCAGAAACCCCAGTGCGCCTAAATATGTCAAAAAGAACATCCCTAACCAGATCGTGTCGGTACTTGAAACCCGGGAGCTCTTTACAATGAACTGCATGCTCCCCAAAGGAGTCCAAACATGCCTTGCGACAAACAAGGCAAGTCTCGTCAGCCGTAAATAAATGGATCATAAGGCGATACTTGAGGATGACAAGATACTCCACTAGCGACATATGCTGGCCAAGACCGTCAATAGGAATAATCATAAGAAAATCCTGAGCATGTGGGGCCCTTAGACACTCAAAAATTGCTTTTTGCCTAATCGTCATGTCGAAGTGAACTTCCATGTCTTGGACAATCTTACTAAAAAGGACACTCGCCAATGAATGTTGGGCTTTTGGAGGGGTGGTGTCCTTATTAGTAAGACCGCTGAAATCAAAGCCCAAAACTGTATCACGAAGACAGGTCAAAGCACAAACATAATCTGAATCCATACCACATATACCGCTATTTCGTAAGATGTGGTCTTGTAACACCCACGATTGAGCTCGTGAGGCCACAAAAGCATAGGAGGAAGCCTCTACTGCTGAGTACAACCCCAAACCATCGAGCCTAATTGGTAACAAAGCCAGTCCCCAAAGAACGGACCCCCGCAAACCATAATGTCCTTAATCGACCCACGTAACCCTTTATCAAAACACAAAGCAGCCTCTTCCATGTGAACGGGTTGGCACGTTCTCAGGCTAAAGAAAATTTTGGCAAAACCCATGCAAGAACGAAGCAAAAGGGGTTCACTATGGGGGTCATGTAACTGTGGTAGATGGCACATCAAATCAACAGCCTTGGCAACCCTCTTCATGGCTAACCCATTAATAAAAACCGCATCTCTACTAGCAGTTCCTCTAAGAAGCTTCACCCCACTGACGGTCGCCCAATGTCAACAGGGAATAAACATGTACGAAGCTTCTTACCATCGCATAAAGGCCAAAATATCTCAGTTTTCTTGATATTCAGCTCAAGCCCCAATCCTGGGCCTGCCACCCTAATGATGTCCAAAACTCTGGCCACCTCCTCTGAATCTCCAATGACGGTCCCATCATCGAGGTACCTGTTGGGTTTTGAGCATTCTAACACTCCTATGGTGTACATGCAACCCTATAAACCTTGGATCTATGTTTTCTCTATTATACATGTAAATATTAACTATTCCAAGGTTTCATCCTAACTAGCATATTATGAAGCACCTATACTACAAAGTTCTAGTTAGATGACATACCTTTTGATGTAGCTTGATGTCTTCAAGCTTTAAGAGCTTAGCCCCCATAGTGTGGAAGCCTCAAATGGAATCACAAATCACCAAAACACCTTGGAAGAACTTGAGAGAATATGTATGCACACTAAAATCGGCCCACTCTTATTTTCACACACTTGTGCCAATTTTGTGAGCCAAGGACCCCTTTATATATTATGGAGGATTAGGGTTACATCCATGTAAACCCTAATACCCATGACCTTTCATTTACATAGGATCCATGGGTTAAAAGCTCCATGGACCATCCATGAAAGCTTAGCCCAACCTAAATGAACTTGGCCCATTCTATATATATAAGAGTCCATATTTAATTAGTTCTTTTTGATCACTTAAATAAATTAATTCTTGATCAATACTAATTAAATAATATGATTCCATATTAATATATTAGAACTTATAATATA